CTTCTCCACTTCATTGGCCGCACCCAAGAAAAATCCACAACACTAACCGCTATGTTATGCTCACGTGTTCTGATATTAATAGCGTTCTAGGACTAAACATTATTTGGATAATTGGCAAAAAAAATACAAATGTAAATATCTTAACCCTACTGTTAGACCTGCCTGAAAAACTAAAAAGCAATTTATTTAATTCGAAGGCCTGTCGTTATTTTTTATTTGTGCTATCATTATTAATTTCTTTATTTGTTCTTATTTTATTACTGACCGCTTACTTGTCATTTTTTATTCAATTCAATTACCCACAATTACCCCACTGTAAAGTAAAAAATATAGTGAGCAAAAATTTGCGAGATAGCTAGTTATAATGGTAATTAAATAATGTTTACGTATGTGTAACGGGGCTGACGAGACGTGAGACATGTGGATCCATCTGCAAGCTTTATTGAAAGAGACGTGTGTATAACAGGCAGGGTCGAACAATGGCAAACAGGTATATGGCGGGCAAAAACACAAGAATAGTCCTAGGGCTAGCGTAGGTCACCGATCGGCAGACAGAATCACAGGGGCAAGACAAGAGGGAGAAATCCAGGAAAACAGGCAAAGATCAGATACCGCAGAAACAGGCAAGGCAAAACAAGGTCAACACAGAAACTCAGAAGGAAAACATGGAGACTCGGAAAGGGGTACAGGCTAAACAAAGAAACTCGGAATGGGAAACAGGCTAAACAAAGAAACTCGGAACGGGAAACAGGCTAAACAATACTCAGCACAGAAAGGTGGTTAGAGTGGGTGTTATATAGTGAGTGAGGTGATTAGAAACAGCTGTGTGCAATCAGTGCAGTGTGCAAAGAATGATGGGATATGTAGTCCAGGGTGCTATGCAACAGATAGTGTTGTGCGAGAGTCAATTTAAAGGAAAGGGTGACCTCTGGTGGTGAATAAACGGAAGTACATGGACTGAATTCGTGACAGTATGTATAACAGCCTACATTAAAATCTGTCATATAAATTGGTCATTAGCCTATTGATTGCCACCATTGATGGAAAAAAAATGTGTATAATATTTTTATAATATTAAAAATATCTGTATGACATTATATTCTGCAGTTCTTCCCTGTTGTACCGAATATCTATACTTTTCAAATGATCATATTGAAGTTAGAAATTCAAATATTGTGACAAAATTAATTTTGTAGGGTGCCACAAATTTGTTAAAACACTGGTTTAGACTTCAAAAATGCAGCTTTTCAATACAGATAAGGCCTACTTGAAAATATGCTTCAGCATATTCAGAGATTTGAGCTCCAGGGTGTCAGTGTCACAAATCAGGCCTCTGTGGCTCTCTACGACGGCCTCCGGAGGGCACCCTCTCCCGAGTACTAGCGTTCTTGGACTACATTTCCCATAACACCCTGTACCTGAGACTGATTACTGGCACAGGTGTTTCTCCTT